ATCACGCACTTGTGAAAGAATATTAGACTCGCCATTTGTGTGTATCGGTGCAGGCATGTTTTTTTACTTTTGAACTTTGGAAAAAATCAAACCCTTTTGTCTTTGACCCTCAATTTCAAGGTACTCTCCATTGTAAAACCCAATCAAAATCACCCAAATTTCGTAAATGTCCCCCATTCTAAAAGTAACCGGAAAACAAAAATAAACCAAAATAGCTAGGAAAAATACACACGTCCCCCTGTTTTAACCCTTTCGGGGCCCAAGGCCAAAATCTAAATCACGCACCAGTGTAAAGAAATTTTGAAAAAAAAAAAAAATTATTTTTTCTTAAAAATTAAAGAGATTTTTGTGAAGGTAATAAAACAAAAAAAAATAGAATCGATCATTACTTACCAAAGTTACAGTGCCAAGAAGTTTTTAGAAAATGAGGGGGTGGCGGCAACATGGGACGAATTCCCATAGGAAATTATATTATTTTTTGTTTTTATTTGTTTTTTCTTTTTTTTTCCCAATTTTTTTCTTTTCCCATAACATTTGGGGCCTGAGAGACCAATACTGATAAAATTGATATATATATACTCACTTTATGAACACAATAACCGCACAAAATTTATTCATATTATTGTTTACCATGTTGTTTATTACAATAAACTGCAAAAATATTGTTAAAATAATTTTTTCTATCATATTTTAATTTTTTAAAACAGGGGACAGGGTTTTTAGAATGCTGGATTGTGGAAATCCTTGAAAAAAGGGCCCCCCATGCACAGAGGATTTTCTTTCCCTCCACAAAAACCAGGGGTCTTTGGTTTTTGTTCCCTCGTTTTGTTTGTGCACAGCAATGCATCTTTTGACAAATTTTTTTTGAGTTGAAGGAAGCTTATTATGAATGATCACCCTTCTCTCCTCAAACGTTTGGGTATTTTGTGAGTTTTTCGAGGACCGTTGTATTGCAGGGTTGTTCCCTGGTACTTCATTATAGTTGTCTGAAACAGACAAAAAAAATTTTCACCTTAGGTGGTCTGTTCCCAGTCTTATTTGGTACATATATCTTCAGCTTTGAAAGCCATGAGATGGAAAAAAAATTTTCTGTACCACTTGTCCCTTTTTACGAACAAGCCCCAAACAAAACCAATCGCATGTCACACTTGTCAACCAAGCGCATTTTTTTGTGTTAATCAATCACTGTCAGGGGTTTTCGAATACGTTCTTGTCCTCGATCAACTTTCCCCACTGTTTTGCATTTCATTAGGGTGAAGGGTTGTCAACATGTGACATCTCGTTTGTATGCCACCGTAATCCCAGATGTCTTGGCAGTAAACCCTGCTTTCCCCACAACACCTGCTTTGAGCCGGGATATGTTTAAAATTAGAACGCACTGTGCCACAACATTTTTGTTCCTCGCATAAAAACACGGAAAATGGGTTGTGAACAGTTATCGGTATATAATGTAGGGCCCCTTACCTAGTAAGGGCCATATGTTTCTCATACGTCCCCTGATATCCCCAAAAACATCTTGGTATCTTTTCAATGTTTTACTACCAGGTATAAAAAAATATCCAACCCCAAAGGCCCCACTGTCACAATCACAGGTACAAAAAATTTTTCCCAAAGGGTTCCTTTGCTGGTATATTGCTTAAATGACATCTATTTTGAAAAAATCAAAGACTCGTAAACAGATCTTGAATGGATAAAATTTATGTCCTGAACTTTTGTTTGAGATACATGAAAACATTTTAATCTTGTTAACCTGTCACTTCTGTCAGGCCCGGGTTTTTTCAGAGAAGTGCAAAATCGTAACGTAAGATAACCCCGTTCCGGGGTTTTTTTCCTGAAGGGTGGGGGACAAAATTACCGATCTGGGACCGTATGCTTTTTTTTATTATGCTTATAGACGTGAGGCAAACATTTGTTGCAAAAAGCAAATACATTTCTGCAACGTTGTTTTCCACCTGTGTAGCTTGACTTTGGTAAATTTCGTATTTTGCAAAGGGGACTGAAAAAAAACTTATTACTTTCCTGAAATAATTTCCATCAATGGGTGGTCAAGAAAAATTCAAAGAATTTCCCGTTCATTGGCCGTGGTTCCAGGGGAAAGGGAGGGAGAAAAATTCCCCTTTGAGAGTCATCAAAGTGGTGAGGGCGGGAACAAAATTGGGATTTTGGGTGCCAATCCCCCGATCGGTTTGTGGTGGGTCTGGAAAGGTGGTTGAGGGTGGTTGTGGCGGGCTGGTGGGGTGGCTCCTTTTTTCCTTGAACGACGGTCAGCGCGTGGGTCCCCCCCCGTGGACAGTGGGTCATGCTGGCGGTGCCAAACCCACCACCCGCCCCCCACTAAAACCTCCACTGATGCTGTGGGCCCCTCCATTCAAATGTAGCCCATCATCCCCCTATCACTACCCAAAAGGGTGTAGGGGGCCCCGGGATGTACCCCGTCCCGGGGGACGCTAGGGTAACTACCGGCGAAAGCAGCGGGGGAACATACCGACGCTTCATGGTGAAATGTTTCCTCACATCAATCGAATGATCGTGAGCGCAAAAAAATCACAAACCACGCAAAACATGTCCCTTAGAAGTCAGAGGCCAGGCCACGGGAAAAAAAATTGTTTTTTTTCTTTGTTTGGAACCCACCGTGAGTCACAGTGCCCCCACCAGAGGAGAAGGCGAGGATCGCGGGGTTTTCTGCACTTTATCGATATCCTGGTCATTATTTTGGTCACTAACTTTTTTAAAACCGTGAATTTGTCTTCTTTCCCTTCCCTGTGTCGAATATCAGACAGGAAGAGGGAGTCCCCAAATTTTTCCCGGGGGGTGAGAGTGATTGCACGAGGCAGGGGAACAAGGGGGGACTGAGCCGGGGTTCCCCCAATGCTAGCAGGGGCCTGATTTTTTGTTTATGGCGCACACCCCGGGCCAGACCCCTTTCCCCACATGTAGGCCTTTGAGCGCTTTCGCGCTTAAATTTGACGGCGCTAGAAAAATTTTTGGCATAGATCTCGGTTTGGACACTACCCCAACGCCGTAGATCTACGGGGGCGGACCCTGAAAGGGTTTTTTAACCAAAAACACGTCGAAGTTTTTTTTTTTATACTGTGCACACTGACCACATAGACCCATTCTTTCATATGTAGGCCTACCAGCTTTCTCTCGCTAGATTTAAAGGAGCTAGAATTTATGCATACTAGTACAGCACCAACCCTGAAAGGGTTAAAGGAGGGGTTTAGGATTTTGGCAGTTTGGAGGGGTATGTTATATATGCTTCTAAACTGTTGTATCTGGGCTCCTCTGCAAAGACAGTGATTGTGTAAGTGAGGTGAAAGTGTTGAATGATGAAGAAAGTATCTTCTTTTTTGGGGATTTTCTTTTTGGATCTCCCTGCCTCGGTGGGAGACGGCCGACTTGTTGAAACAAAGAAAAAACTTAACCAGGTTTTTATTAGATTCTTTACGAGTCTTAGAGCTTTTACACTCCATGAAGCGAGTTCAAAAAAGAATTTCCAGAGCTTGCTTTTCAGTCATTGAAATGTAACAACAGTATTTTTTTTTTTTAGTGAAAACACCTTATAAGGGATGTTTACATATCAAAATAAAATAATTCAAAGGAAAAATGGCAACATAAGTTTTGAGTTTCATAAAACTGAATGACTTAGAAGAGACTTATGGTAAAGTAGCCAGTCTTTGTTAATTAAGATGAAGATTCTGTCTTGATTATTGACTTGGAGAGTTATTAACCCAGGAAAACCCAGTAAAGCTACTGTCATCAGACTGTCAGGTTTATTTCCATTAGGGTCTTTTAATTCTCTTTCCTATGATGTCACCCATACCCATCAACTAACACCCAGGTACCTTCTGACTGCTAGGTGAGCAGAGGCAGCAGGTGTTAGGAATCATGTCCAGTGGTTCCCTTCCTTCCCCAAGTCTTCGATTTCTTAAACTGAAGCCACTACAGACTGAGTGACAAGTATCTCTCCAGCAGTGTCAGCATATGTAGAGCACAGCTTTTCTGTTTTGAAACAAATTAATACTTCGTAAATTCTCCAGGGCAGAAAAGATTTCAAAGATGGTCTCTTCTATCAATTGAAAGATATTTTTACGAAGTCTTTAGAGCAAAGCTGAATTTTACAACTGTTCACAACTCAAGAATAACTCCAAGTATGAATCATTATAAATAGATTTATTATTCATACCTCAGCTTCATCAAGACACTAAAGTGTGTCATTTGCTCACCTCAGTATTTTTTCATGACACACCACTGCATGTGATAACAAACAATTATGACATTTGTAATTTTTTTCCCATAATTTTATATCACAGACTTCTTCAGGAAAGCTGTAGGGGATTTGTGTTAGAATTGTGTTAAGATCTGTATGTAGGTTTCTTAGTATTGTATGTTACTTTTTTAATGATCAAAATCTATGTACAGTTAAGTAATATTTTGAACAATTTTCTTTCCCAGGGCTGGGTGATGTTGCTTTCCGACTAAGAGAGCTTCAGGAGTCTTGTGAGTCTCTGCCTGACTGTCATGAGCTCATCACAGAGTATGCTGATAAACTCAAGATTAACAATGACTTTGACCGGGTAAGATGCATGAAGTACCACTCGCTGCCTTGTGATCTGAATATAGTAGAGGTGAATGTTTAATGACAAGTTTGTGATATTTCAAAGTCTGCTGTATTAATAACTAAAAAACAAAACTGCAAATAATGACTTTCAATTACTGTGTAAGTACAGTATAACAAATTTGGGAAAGCTTGGCAAGAGAATAGCCTTGTTAATTATAGGAACTTGTTTTAATGGCATGGATGGAAGATTGTCACAAGTTCAAGAATATCGTTGCATCCTCTTAAGCATTTGAGTGAAAGTATAATCACACTGAAAAAACATTAAGCATTGTTATCACCTGTTCTTACACATTAAGATCTCTTGCCTTGTATACTATTTGATTTACTTCCTGTTGACTCATAACGAATATAAAAATGTCAGTCTAGGACTAAATTTACAATGTAAGTATTTTATATTGACAGTACCGTTTTAAAAGTTTTAATGCATAATATACTGCTGAGAAGACTTAAGAATTGACCAAGTACTCTGCTCCATAGCCAAAATCTCAGAAACTATGATAATAAATAAATGTATGGGAATTTCTGTACTAGGAATAAAATAACGGGGATTTAGAAGAGCCTGGAGGCCCTAAAACTGCAAATATAATTCAGCTTAATAATGAGGTAGCAGAGTATTGATTAAACAGTGACTAACTGGTCACACTAACATCACATAGTCAAGTGTTTGAGAGAGTACCAAGAAGTGAACGTAGCAGCTTCATGGAGACTAATGAACTTCATAACTCAGCTCAACAGGTCTTCACAAAATGGAAATAAAAGGAGAAATTAAAATTGAGATATTAAATATACTGAATTCTCACAAGCATTTGGTAAATGGGGCCATGAAATATTAAATTAAAATTAGGCCTAAATAGTGACTAGTTTGTAGGAAGTTGGATATAAATTTTTTATAGTAATAAGGATAGAATTACTGAGAGTGCTGGGTAAAAGGACACATCTTCAGCTGATGTGACAGTTTGTGTTGCAGCTTGGCAAAGCTCCTGGAGAATGAAACGTTGCCACAATAAAATGTCACATTAGTTGCAGGTGTGTCCTTTTATTTAACATAAATTTTTCTAACAGTAATTGTAAGGCAAATAAAAATCCTTTTTGTCTTGGGTACAGTAAAATGTTCAGTTTGACAAATGATTACCCATGCCCATTTATTCTCATCACAGGCTAGTACAAAAAAATACGTTTGTTTTATATTAATTGTCAATACTGTACCAAATTTAGTAAATTCTAAAAAAAAAAAAAAATTGAAGTCTGATACCAACTTTGGCAACAGAAAACATGATTCATAGTGGGTATTTGTGGTTGCTTTAATGTGGACAAGCAGAAATTCTTCACTGGTTCAGGATACAAGATGCAGAAGTCAGATTATTCAGTCATGTCTAGTACTGAGATGTTACCAACAAATTTTTTTGAAAATAAGAAAAAGTTTTGGAGTGAGATTAATAAGTTGAAGAAGCCTAGGGAACGAATGGACTTGATAGCTAAAAATAGGAGAGCAGAGTTATTAAATGGAGAGTTAGAGGTATCGGGAAGATGGGGGGAATATTCTGAGGAACTGTTAAATGTTGATGAAGATAGGAAAGCTGTGATTTTTGTGTATAGGGCAAGGAGGAATAACATCTTGTAGGAATGAGGAAGAGCTAGTTATGAGTGTGGGAGAAGTTCGTGAGGCAGTGGATAGAATGAAAGGAGACTGATAAGGATGGGATGAAGATAGAAATGTTAAAAGCAGGTGGCTGGTACTTTTATTTAATAAATGTATGTAAAAGCATAAGGTACCTAGGGATTGGCAGAAAGCATGCATAATTCCTTTGTATAAAGGCAAAGGGGACAAAAAGAAAAATGAGTGCAAAAATTATAGGGGAATAAGATGGAGAGTAGGATAGCAGATGAACAAGGAGGCTTTAGGAAGGGTAGAATTGTGTAGACCAAGTGTTTACAGTGAAACATAAGTGAACAGTATTTAGATAATTTTAAAGAGGTTCTTGTGGCATTTATGGATTTGGAAAGGGTATATGACAGGGTGGATTGGGGGCAATGTGGCAGATGTTGCAAATGTGGAATGGAAGGTAAGTTATTGAAAGCAGTGAAAAGTTTCTACGAGGATAGTGAGGCTCAGGTTAGAGTATGTAGGAGATTATTTCCCAGTAAAAGTAGGCCTTAGACAAGGATGTGTGATGTCACCATGGTTGTTCAGTATATTTATAGATGGGGTTGTAAGAGAAGTGAATGCTCGGGTATTGGCAAGGGGTGTGGGGGTTAAAAGATGAAGAATCTAACACAAAGTGGGAGCTGTCAGAGTTTCTCTCTCCTGATGACACTGTGCTTTTAGGAGATACTGAAGAGAAGTTGCAGAGTTTGGTGGATGAGTTTGGTAGGGTCTGTAAAAGAAGAAAATTAAAAGTGAATATAGGAAAGAGTAAGGTGATGAGGATTACAAAGAAATTAGGTAATGAAAGATT